CCTCTCCCTCTCCTCCAGTCCCTGCACTCGCCCCATTGTGCTTCGCGGAGCACTGGCCTCACTATCTGGTGCTATTTCCCCCACCACACACTATCCCCCCTACCCCCTCCCTGTGTTCGGCTTACTGTCTCTTTCTAACACTCTCTCCCTCCCACTCCCTCTCTAGTCTCTTTCTGACCGTTTATCCTGGATAGTATTTAGTTTACGAGCACATTTTGCTAACGTTTTAAGTTATATATCATGCTATGTTCAGTTTCCTCTGAATTTCCAGGACACATATCATAGTGAACTATTCCGCTAGGGTAGTGGGAATAATCCCGATTAACAACACACATATAAATTAAATACAAAATTTACCATTTGTTATACCAGGTACAGTGCTCTCTCTCCTCTCCTTGTCTCTCCCTTATCTTCCCTTGCCCTCCCTTCTCTTTCCCTCTCCCTCCTTGAGATTGCATCCTCGGCGGTGACGGCCGCGTCTCCCCTTGCCCTTCTCGCCGCTATCACTGTCGTCTCTGGAATGCCCGGCATGTCCGTGTCGGCCGGAGCGAGTGGCGTGGGTGGGATGCTCTAGCACACCCTGCCGTCCTCCCGAGGGGCAGCGGCAGAAAAGAGATTCGGATCGCGCTGGACGGAGAGAGAGAGAGAGAGAGAGAGAGAGAGAGAGAGAGAGAGAGAGAGAGGCAGGCAGGCTCGAGCAGCACGAACACACGGCACTGTCACACGTTATCAGCGTGACACACGGCCGTGACGTGACTACGGAGGCGTGACGTCACGTCCCGCGCTGATGTGTCTGCCCGACCGGCCCGCCGCGTTACGCCCGCCAGCACGCCGTCCGCGACCCCGTCCCTAGATACTGTCTCATCTACAAAGTACGTCTATAATCCGCTTTTAACGAAACTGTCGTGTTGAGCCATACAAGCTCTCATAGCGCCTGATAGGTAGGCAACATCTGCCTTGCAACGCGTCCGTGTACTGCGGGGTGGCCTACCCCAAGTCTCGCAGGCGCCGTGCCCCCGTCATTTTCCGAATTAAATCTTCTTCATTGACGATCCCTACAATCAAAAGTGGAATTTATAAATTCGACAGTAGGTTCACTTGGTACTTGTTCTGATTCGCAAGCCTATAGTGTGTATTCGCTACGCGGTTCCTCCATTTGCTGTCTGCTCTATCTCTCTCACTGTATCTGTTTTTTGTCGTCCCCGTCGCTTTTCCTACCCCCAGTCTCGTGGTCGTGTGTGGTCTTTTGCACCACACGTTCACTCTGGCCGGCCCGGCGCGCATGCATAGAGTTGCTCGCACTCACCTGAACTCACCTGAACTCACCTGACCGACACCACGCAACACCCCCCC